TAAACCTAATAATTATTAACTTCTAACTTTTACAAAGTATGTATTAGGGAGCACGCATTAAATCTTATCTTTATTTTATAAAATCATCGTTTCAATATTATACCTTCAACCTACATTATATTTGATTTATTGAGTATAACATTTATTTGTATTTCTACCAGTTTTCATCAAACACCTATTCTGCCAAAGTGCCCACTGTTTCAATATGGTAAGTACTTACATTCAGTAGGCCTATTGAAGACTATTTATAATATTACCAGAGCTTTTGTGTACCTATTTTTGTTCACATAAAAAAAAGTTAATTTGTACATTTTCCTTAATTATTTTATAGTATAAATTGAATTTTTTTTTTTTGTATAATTAATTTCTGTTAGTACTTAAGTATATTTAAAGTTAAATGAATTATTCGTCACAAACTATGTACCCACATTATGTTTATATAAATATACTATTTCACATTTGTGAAATCTTACGCATTTCAATTTGATACATATTTAAAAGATTAGTTATGTTCTCGTTTGAGACCAAACTATAATAGAAGGTAACTATGTAAAAAATAATTAATGTCCCATGTAACCGGAAGTGTGCGTACTACTGTATTAGTATATTTTAAATGTACCTTGAGGTCCTTGTAAGAGTCATACAAAGATTTTACCTGTCTCGAATAATAATTGTAGTTCATATATTTTCCTTGAATTTTAATGTCTTCTGTATCTTAAAATTTGAATTTTTCCTTACTTAATGTTTATTGTTGATGAGTATCCATGTAGCCGTGTGGATGTTGAAAACTATATTTCAATAGGTAGATAGTTCAAATCAAAGTTATTGATGGGCGATTTAAATATTTTGACTTTCTTAGTCATATTATTTTTTGTTAATTTTTAATATTTTTAACACTAGGATATCTATCCGTTATTTTCATTTATAGTAACTGTACATTTTGCATAAATTAGTATAATGATTAATCTCTTTTTTTGTTCACGAAGGGGTCAGTAAGGATTTGCAGTAATTTCTGTGAAAGTTTACAAATTTAGTTGTTATTATTATAATATTGTCTATATAGGTATTTAAAATATGTATCATACATCGCAGTACGCGTTGTAGATTAACATATATATATATTATTGATATTTACTAGGTTTTAAAGTAAAGTACAGAAATACTTAATTAGTTCTCAGTTTACACGCATATCAGTATATTTTATGTCGGTTTATGAACTTAATATGTTTTATAATCTTATATGAATGAAGGTTTTCAGTTAATTCTGAGGTTTGTTTTGACTTTTGAGAATGTTGAGTTTCAACAGGTATATTCAATCTCTAGTATCTCTTTTAAGAATTATATTTTTTTTTAGATTCTGAGCAAAGAGACTCATTTACAGTTTGTGTGTAATTTTTGTATTTTGTTGTGACTGTTAATACCATTTGGCTTTAGGAGCAATACTCGTGCTTCAAATTCTTCAACTTTGAGGACGGTTAGGGATATCAAATGACAAATTGATTCTTTTTGATAGAATGGGTGGTCAAAAGTGAAAATTAGTACTTATTTACTTTTTGTTATAACCGGAGAATTAAAAAGAAAATTTATGCAAAACCAGTTTTTGACAAAAGTGATTTTGTTTTTTTGTTGTAATAAAAATACGAATAACTGTAAACATTTTAGCTTTTATAAAATATTTGTAATTGAATATTCTGGAGTCTAGTACGTTTCTATAATCCAGACAATTTTATGTCATATAAAAATATTTTGTCTTTTTTGGGCGTTTAATATTAATATTTACATTTACACAATACGTAGGTATGTTAAGACTTCATGATTGGTAAATTATACTTTTGAGTTGTGAGTCGTGAAAACACTTACACTTAAATAGAAGAATATTGAATATCATACTATTATCTGTAAAATTGATATTTTTTCATGATATCTCTCATTCTAGAAGTTTCTTGAAAATACGTTTATTCGATCGAGGAAAAACTCGTCTTAAAAAATATTTTATTAAAATTATTTATAAGTCTTACCATGTAAATTGTAGATAACAACGAAAAAAAACAAATAAATGTGCTAGGCTGCAGTACATATAAAATGTAATCACTTAAGTCCGGAGCGCATTCTAGCGAATGCGATAAATTCGATCGGACCATATTGTTTTGCACTGGCGGATGTTTGGTATCCTTCATGTTTATTACCACTATCTTGCGCTGAGAGGAATGCAGCCTATGTATCAGGGGCCATAGTAACCTAATATTTAAATATAAAATATTGCTTTCTAGATTTTTGTTTTTGTAAGAATTTTATGAAAATGTTCTTTATGCTGCTCGTTAAATAATGGAAATATTTTTCTATCTGGTTGTATTTATTTAGTTCCATAGAAGTTTTTATCTTTCTAAGAAATGTACGAAAAATCTCGTTTATATTTCTGTAATAAGAGAGATGATATACCTACGTATAGTCGTACAAGATAGGTAAAATTCCGTTGCAACACCGCCTAACAACATTAGTAATGAAAGGATGGTTTATACGTTTCCTATGCTCATATTACTATATATTATATACCTACATTATATATTACTTAATATATTCACTACATTTGATCTTTTTCGATTTAATCTTTAATCAACCGGTTTTGGGTTCTCCACAACTAATCAAAATTCTAGCACTTTAGGTACAGTTTACTATATTAAAATAAAATACAGTAAAAATCCACTACAATACATTCTATGCACCATTAAAACCCAAGTTTTTAACGCAGATCGGAGGGGCCTACGAAACCCAAGAAATGTAGTAAACTCAATCCGGCCATAATTAAGACATTATCTTCATCATCAATCATAAAATTTTATTATTAATTTTTCAATTAAACACAGTACCCAATAATATTAAGTTTATATCATTTATTTTTGGGAAATTAATTTTCTTAGGTACATTAAACATTTTGTAGTATTTAAAAAATTGCTACCTAGTGATTACTAATTATATGATATAATATTGTATTATTATTTTAATTATTTTTGTATAAGTTTTTCTAGGTTATAAGTTGTTTAATATACTTACTGGTGCAGGTTCTTATCTGTTATCTGGCTAACTAAATATACAGTTAAAAAAAATTGTTAAACCCGTTGGACGCAATACTAAAAGTTATATAATAATATTAACAATGAATATGATGATTATTCCAATGGCCATTGATTATGTAATGTATGATATCTGTAGAAATTACATTATTCTACACATAATATCTACGAGTGTCGATCAAAACAGCGCACTTACCGCGTAATGATTACTGCCGACATATAAGCCTTCAGATCTTTCATTGATTTAACTATTTTTTTTATTTTTCAACCATAAGATTAAAATAATAAGATTAATAATATTATTAAGCCACGTAATTTATTAGTTATTACTTATTAATTATATCACTTATGGCTTATCAAATTCACGAATAAAATGGAAATAAATGGCTAGATTCTTCCAGTTAGGTAATACCTAGGTACTTAAAATTTTCACAATTATTTATAAATTATTATACTTCCACATTCTAGATACAAATACATGATTTTATAATGATTAAAATATTTAGGATTTTTTTATCCATTTATACACCTTGAACATTTTTTTGTTTTGTTGATGTAAGACATCAAATGCGGAGGGTGATACCGGTATTAGCGTGGTAATGTAAAACATCTAATACGCTTTTTAAAATAAAAAATACTTTTTAGTAAAAAAATATGAATACTTTGTTTTTTATTATGCCATGGTTCTTTAATAAACCATCCTTTCAAATTTCAATTTTCATGTGTATTTTTATACAAAATAATTTCGATGTTTCACACCTGCCAGGCGTCCTGCGACGGCTCACTTTTTTTTAAAAGCTTGAAAATTTAAAATTCCTGATGAAGTTGTCTTAATAGAAGATACAAATATCAAAAAAACATTCCAGCAACATTTTTGTCATAAGCGTTTAATGTTCTAATTTTAACTAAATGTCTCAACAATTCAAAATGTTAAAATTATTTTGTAGTCAAAAACTTAAATTAATTTGTTTTTTAATAGGTAAGGCTACAAAGTTTTAAGGTTCTTAATTTTTTCTAAAAACATTTTAAAAATATCGAAAATATATTGGTAGATCCATGAATATTTTTTCTTAAAAGACATTTGAAGTTAAAACGTTTAAGAAATAGGATATTCGAACGAAAAAAAAATCGGTTCTCCTCTAACGACTATGTTGGATCTTTACAAATAGGTAATTGAAACTTGTCAGTTTTCACTATTACGTGTATTATTAATATCTATATACTATTATTAAGCTTTCAAAATATTTAGATTGATTTAAGCTTCTTACGTCTTATCATATTATTATTCGCTTCGCTCTTAGGTGCGTTTGCATAATATTGAGTATTGACTTATAAAGTTAAGTTGATAAAAGCAAAATACTATTAATTGTATTACTGAAATTAACAAACGGGTGTTAACCGACTGCTGTCTGACGAAAACTGATCGCCACCGACTAAGTTTCTTAACTTGGACAGAATCTATAGATAACCTACTCAAAAACTAGGTGTATTGCATACCTACACTCGAAACCTACCAAACAGCAGAATGATTTCCTTGATTTTGGACCAAAAAAAAACTTCAAAAATAATTTTAATTTTGAGTAGACTCGTTGCATTGCTAAAATTGGAGGAAGTAATGCTTTTGCAATATACTTTCCCCCAACTGTGTGAGTGACTTACTGTGTTTTTTTGTTAATTTCTATTAATTACCTGGAATATCAAACATTTTCTAGAGTTCAATTTTTTATTATTACAATTGTTTGAACATGGAGATGGATAAATATAAAAAGTGAAATGATTACATTTTTGTGGGTAAAATCATAGGACTATAGTGTAGTATGTGATATTATATAGTTAATATTTTATTAATAAATGATACAACAATATAATTGAAATATGTACCTATGTATAGAAATATTATGTTTAAAATATCCGATTTTTTATTATTAGGAAAAAATTTGGTTAAAAAGAATGCTGTCAACTGATAAGTTCCTTGTGCCACCAACTGAGGACCAGAAAGTAAGCTGCGCTGTGTTCGAAGCACCAATGTCTGAATTAAAAGGTAATTATAAATTTGATTTCTTACAGAAAAAGTTCCCTTTTTTTGTTTTTCTAATTCTGGTACATGAGGAACAGAGAAAAAGTCGTTGATCGATCGAAATAAACTGGATAAATTGTTTCAAAAAGTTGGTCAGTGAATATATTATTTTTCTACATTATCGAATGATGATGTTTAATTTATTAATTACTTTAGGTATGTAATAATATGCGTTCGAATAAAAGTTGAAGACAAAAGATTTCGGACTATTCGTATTTTACTATGAAGTATTTCTGAAACCCACTTCAAATATCATGCTCTTACTTAAAGGCAGTATTTCTTCATCGCATGATTAATCCTCTATATTATACTTAATCATTATTTTATCAGCAACTGACTAACAGTACCTATCTATTTGAAATTATAATATTCAATTATTCAATATTTATTACAAGGTTCTTCATAAGTTTTTCATATATCAATTAAAATCTTGAAAATACATATTCACAATGTTTTTTTATAAGAGTTTAAAGTTAGGATTTTTATGAAATTCGTCAAAATCCCACTTCAAATATCATGCTCCTACTTAAAGGCAGTATTTCTCATTGCATAAATCTTCTGTACTTAATCATTCTTTTATCAGTAACAGATATGTATACAACAATTCAAATACCTATTTACAATTTCAAGTATCATTAGTGTGTTATGGACTAATGTATATAACTATTAACTACTCTTAATTTTGTAAATCATTGCATATTTGTTTAATATAATTGTTTTCATCATGGACGTAGGAGGTTTTATATATAACTAAGTTATGTAAAATGTGGATGTATCAATAAGAAATTAGTTCCCCCTACGTAGTTCACAGAGAATAAAAAAGTTGAATAAGAATATGTAGGTACATATTATAAAATATATATCTAGGTGTATTGTAAACTATTGTTATATATCAAGAAATATGTGTTTGTACACTTACATTAAAATGCAGTTATTTAGATTGGTAAGTTTTCTTTTATTAAAAATTAATTTCCTTTTTTTCATATTCTTCTTCTAAAATAGTTCTTAAATTTTGATTCTTTTCTTGCTCTTTTGCCAATTTACTTTGAAGTGTTTCATAACTTTTATTTTGTACTTCCATTTTTTGAATCATAGATATTAAATCATTTTTTTCTTTCGTTAACAATGTTACACGGTCATTAGCATTATTCAATTTACTGTTTCTAAAAGAAAGTTCTCCTAACAAAGTTCTTATTTGTGTTGAACATTCAGACTCCTTTTGTTTTAACTTCTCATTTTCCATTTCTAACATCTTCATTTTGACATCCATGTTATGTTTATGCTCTTCAATAGCCATCTGAAGTTTAATTTCGGCATTTGCTTTCAACTCTTTGTGTTCATTTTTTTTAATATCTTTGTTCTCTGAATTTAGGATATCATCAGCCTCACTTATTATATTCATAAATTTCAATTGTAAATTGTTATAAAAATCATTCAATTTTGTTTCTAATTTTTTGGCAGTCTGTTCTTTATCGAACATATTTTGTATTAAATATTTTCTAACAGCGTGTAAATCATAAAATTCATTTGGTTCAATAATATTTTGAAGCCAAAAATGATACTCCATATTTCTTTTAGATACGACTAAATAATTATCCCATACATATTTATATGCTTCTTTTATTGATAAGTCTAACTTTTGATAACCTGTTGTAGAATCAATATTTTGCCACATTAATGGTATATTACGATTGAAAACGAAAACTGCATGATCTCTTTTAAATGAAGCATCTGGTTTCGGGAATGTTTTTCCAAATTTATTTTGCAAAGTGTTTTGAACCTATAAAAGTGTAAGCATTAAATAATATAACAAACTAAAATGGTATAACAAATATTATCATGTACAACTAATTTAATAAAATAAACGTAATTACTATGTAGTCTAGTTCTTCAAGCTCTTCAAATTCTTTTACGTCGTTATCAGATAATGAATCCTTTTTAAACTTATTGATCAATTCGTAACTCATTTTTAATTCATTGTATGCTGTAGCGAATGCAATCTGCTGTTTTTTGTAGTTAGTAAGTTTTACTCTGTATGTTTTCTGACAAATATTGTTTTTTTGCTTGTTTTCTATTCTATTGGTATTCAAAGACGTAACCTTTTTTATAGTATTTTTGTCGTCTTCTAGTATGTTTGAATCATGTAATTGAGTTAGTTGATCATTACTAACGGTTAACTTTAAAAGTCTATTTTCGTTTTTATTAGAACAATTTTGAGACATATTTGATAGGTATTATTAAACTTTATTTCAATAAAATGTGATCAATGATATGTGTATAACCTTTATTATTATTTCCAGAGTGAAAATTGTTAGTTTTTGTTGTTTACAAAACTCACGTTTGAAAACATAAATATCTTTTAAGCCAAAATATATATTATATTATACATTTAGATTCTGAGCAGAGCGATAAATGTATTGATTTTACAATGGTGCGTGTGTATGTGTCATCGCCTTTTGGGATAGTAAAAATGCTTTGATTTTCTTTAATAACATATTTTTAGTATAAGAAAGCCAATATAGTCGGTACTTTAGGAGCAAAAGTAAAAAATGTTCAATAGTTTTTAAAAGCATTAGGAAAAACAACAACAAATTAAGGAAAAACTGAGATTAATACACAAAACAAGTTTTTGAAAGAATCGATTTTGTTTTTTAGTGTAACTCTAGAAAAAATAATCGTGAAATATGAAATCTTTACTGAATGTTTATTGTTTATATGAGTAATTTCTTTACACTATAATATTTTGAAACATTGCGATTCTTTTTTAGTTATTTATAAATTATAGGTATAAGAAAATGTTGAGTTCTATTAGTTTTTTTAAATTATTGTCGATAAAAAATTTTTCCCTCGGTCAAAAAACTTGAAAATGTAATACACCGTTCTTCGTAAGTTGTTTTTATGATGAAAATTAAAAAAAAATTGAGCTAAAATCCACAGTAATTTTGTATGCCAGTGTCTGAATAGTTAACACTTGAAGTATCATCAAAATTCTGAAAATTGGCAAATTACTACTACTTAGAAATTCATACAATACTCTATGTATATCTAAGCTTTGAGAATTGTGTACAAGAATTCTCTTAAGATTTCCTATATTTAACGAATGAAAAAGTTTGCCGGTAACTTAAATTAATTTCTTACGAGTATTTCAAGATAAACATTGGATATTAACAAATTGTAAATTAACAAATTCTCAAACAACGATTTTCTTATTTTGTCGTTACTCAAAAACTTGAAATTTTCACCATAATATGTTTGTTTTTCATTTTATATACATAATAAAATTGTCAGAATATTTTGACTCGTTGTGAACTATTTATGTGGACATTTTCAACTTTCAATTTATTTACTTTTTCATTCTAAAAATGTCAATAAAATTGTACTAGTTTTTCAAAAATATTGAAAATTTAATACAAGGTTGATATAATAGCAGTTGAAAAATATTAAAACGATCCATTAGCAAGTTTTTTTTTATAAGTGAATAAGTTTAAAAATTCATCAAAATCTCGAGTATTTTCAAATTATTTTGTAGTTAAAAAACTCTAAAATTGTCGACGTTTATAGTTAAGAATTGAAAATTTAAAACAAAGATTCTCATAAATAGTTCATACTGTAACCAAAAATCTAAAAATAAACACAGTTATTTTTACAGTCCACAGACATTTTAAGTTTGATTTTGGACAAAAGTACATATTTAAACCAAGAATAACGATTTTAGTTTTAATTTAAAAATATAGTTCATGGGTACTTGAGACTTTTAAAGTACATTATTACATTATATACAGTATACACACAATGATATTTTCAAATGCAATTTTTTTTGGCAAACATTTAGCTTACTGTAGTTGTAGTACTAAGCATGATAGTAAAATTAATTACTTTAGTCGCAATAATATCATACAATTTACTTAATAATATTATAGGCCGTCTTCGCTAAGAATCGATTGTTGTTTTACGACCAATGATTATTGAATTCAAATTTAACACATTTATTACAGTGACTTTCCAGACACCTTGTGTACTGCTGAGCGTTACCCACTTGTTTTTTATACTCAGGTGTCACACTATTTGTTTTGAACTCTTACACTCATTATATAATTGATTGGTCTGATTGTAATACAAATATATTTATAATCCACTCAAACGTTAAAACTTATATAACTATTTGAAAACTTAAGTGACATTAAAAATTACATTTTTTAAATATTTATTTACATTGTCGAGCACGCAATAATACTACAAATTATAATATTAATATTGTAACTGCTTCTAGTCTCAATAATTATTTAGATTTAACTCGTTAAATTGTCAGTGTTTTATTTTTTTAATTACATTTACCTATTATGCATTAAAAATAAGTACCGGTAATCGGTTAGTATATCTACTTTTACTCTATAAATAAAGATGTACCTATCACAAAATCAAAATTAATTCAAATGACTTTGTTTTTATAATGTTTATTATTTTTAGGCGGACGAGTCTTTTTTAGTCATTATATTTTCTTTAATTCGAATGTTTTTTTAACGTTTTTTGAAAAAATCATTTTGTTATTTTTGTCTAAATATATACATTTAATTTAAAACCCAATTTATAAATGGGGAAAATCTGCTAATTCAAATTTAAAAAAAGGTCATAATCTTAAATCTTAATATTTAAAGTTATAATAGCATGTCTTTAAATTAAAATAACTAACATACATGTAATAATAGTAAAAATAATAAATTGTATATTATTAAGACTATACATTTATTAGGCAAATATGAAAAACTAATCGTCAAATATATTTATTGCATCCGAGGCTCAGTAAACACTATAACAGCATCTAAAACTAACGCTGGGGTATTAAGTAATTAATTGATAGTGGTCGACGACACACAGAAACTGTTGCTAACTTGCTGCAGTTACCACAATTTATAGGAGCGAAAAACACAAAAATTAAGTTTTCTTAATTTGAACTGAATTTCAAGAAAAATGGTATATAGGTTTATCTATTTATCACGTTATTCAATGAGTTATGACATTATAAGAAATTGAAAATAATGCATGACGTAATTGGACTATCTTATACATAAAAAATTGCTCACTTCAGAAAAAAATGTGCCTTCCTTTTCGAATTTTCGTTTTAGGTAGGTACATATTATATCATGTATTTTTTCATTGAAGACGTTTGTGGAACCAGAGTTGTTTATCTAAAGCATTTAGTTTTTTTAACACCTAAAAACAAAAACTAAATGTTGCATTGAAAGTCTGATACTCCTATCGTCTTCAGCACACAAAATCACTCATTCCAAATCAAAAAGCAAAAATAAAATGTTAAGGTTGGTAAAATAATAATTATGTGTAAATCTAGCAACTTTTACAAATGTCTACCTAATATTTTTTTTTTACATTGGACTTTTATAAAATCTTTTAATTGTTCTGTCTACAATCATTTACTCTTTAATAAAAGTTTTAAGAAAACATTTTTTAGTGTTATGTGTTGCCTTTAAGATACTTATGGATTGGCTGTTAGCTTCAGAGCAAATTATATAATGTGAGACTACTAGCAAAGTAGAAAAAAATAATTTACATAGCACTACAAATGTTAATATTAGTTATTACTATTAAAATTAGTACCGTTAACCTTCGAACATAAAGATATAAGTTAGGTTGGTATAAAATAAAATAAATTCTAATATACAAATGTTGAAATATGGCGCAAAAGTTTTTCTTAACAGCTGTTTTATTTAAGTCAGTTTTAATAATAGATTATACCTAAGTATACACAAGTTTTATCAGTGAGCATTCGACGCGGTTAATCTCCAGAGATTTGTGCTGAGTACATACTACATTGATTAAAAACGATTTGCAATATAATTGGCCGTGTTTGTATATTAAATCGTACAATCAACAATAATACTTGTTTGACAGTAACCGGGTAAACAGTCTTGCAGGAGAAGGTGGCCGTGGCAGCCGTAATCCGTCTCCATATCCGTTAGATAGCTACGTGCACCGATTAGTATTATAATTTATAGCGTGATTTAGTGAGAAGCTACCTTTATCGTAAATTAATTTCGTTAAATATGCTACCCACACATTTTAATAATAACCTTTTATTAAACTTCATAAATTATTTTCAATAAACATATTTTATCATTTCAACAAAAAAGTCAAATTCATTGAAAAATAGTTGTCAGTTGTAAGTCACGCCAAAATGCCTCAAACGCACCAATTAAATTTATTGACTTCCTCTTTGAATTGTCTCTGGGCGCTGAAGTAGACTTATTACTAAATGAATTGATTTCGTATCTTAGTTTTGTAAACTTCCATAATGACTAGATTATTTTATATTCCATTTTACTATCCAACTCAATTACGTAATATGTATAGGTCTCACGCCAGTCTCACTGCCAATTGATAAGATAATCAAAAATTACGATATTTTTATTTATAAATTGTTTTTAACTTCGAAATACTTATGTAATTTGGTACAATTAAAATATAATAATTAGTTAAACTTCGTCATTAATTATGTCATCGTTAAACACGCTTGTAGCCTGTAGGTTTAAAAGAAAATTATAGATATCGTACTTAACCTGTATTTTTAAATTTTTAAACTATTTCGCATACTTCATTATGTTACGAAAAATTCTCAAATCTTCAGACGAAACGAAGAGTCGTCGCGGATAGATCGTGTGTTCCGTACGTTAGACCCCACCGGCCACCGAACGCCACAACCAACCAACTACCAAGTAGTCAAGTAGGCATAGTTAGTACCCTCGGTGACGGCCGGACGGCGTGCGAATTGAGCGCTTTTCCGTACGCGCCTGCGCAGTGAACGTCGGCGTCCAGCCGATAAATGTTATCGGATAATGTATGACGACGACGTGTACACCGCGCCGTGGATTATAAAAAATATATATAAACAAACCTGGCATGTGGTTCAACGACCGCGGTCACCGGTGGTGATGGTAGCGGTAGTGGTAACAACTGCAGCTGATGGTGGCTGGTGTAGTGGTGTAATAGTGGTGTTGGTGGTGTACAACTGACTGCCTACTGGTGTAGTTGTAGCGGCGAAAGCGGCCGTTGCAGTAGTGTAGTACTATACTATTTTTCCGTGCGATTCGTAATAAAACCGTCTATAGAGTTGAGAGGTCACTACTGTATTCTACGGTTTAACGTAGTATTATTTTTTTATTATTCGCATACCTACTTCATAAAGACGACCACTCCGAGGAAAAAGCCATGCCGACATATTTCTACAACAGAGGTACATATTTAAATTTATTTTTGTACTATGGTATTAATACACAAAACAGATGAAATGTTATATTTATTATTTACTTTCACCTATTCTGGAGTATTAATATTGACGTTAATTTTTCGTCCCTCGCCGTTATTGGTATCAGCTTTATAGTTTATATCCCTCGTAAAACATTTTTTTTTTAATTTTATTGAAAAATATATCACTGTCAACGAAATGGATAATTAATAAAATAAATTATAATAACATTAAAACATTTATCATTTGATAATGTTAAACGGTGCTCAATGCTCATTGATCGGGTGCGCTTTTGCTTCTAGAAATTTCCACCGCTTTAATGATAACAGCCGACGTGTAATCGTATTTCCTCGCGCCCTTAATACATCTAAGCGTTATCATTTATCAGTTAAACTGACACTAACTACCTGCGGCGTGTGCTGTCCAACCGAAGCGGTTAGGTAATCATTATCATTATATCTCTTGTACAAATATAACTGTAGATTGCAGCTTCAGATAATATTATTAACAGGCT